CTGGCTACTCACGCTGGCTGCTGGCTACATACGGTAGCCCATGGCAACCCACTGCCACGGGCTGCAGCCTACGCTGTCGCCGGCGACTCATGGCAACCCAGTTCCAGGTTGAGCTGTTGTTCAGCCTCTTAGCTGTAGAGGGCAGTGTCACTGGCCCTCATATGTGGGATCCGAACCGGGGTCCTCTTGCATCCCAAGCCAGTTCTTAACCATCGTGCCACTCGGCCGGCCCGTGGCTACATTTCTAAAAAGGAAATAAAAAACCTGTGGCTTATTCTCTTCTTTTGTAAAGAAACAAGATTCTTTAGATTCTATTAGAAAGAAATTTCTCACTAATTAAAATGATATAACAAATATTTCTGTAAAATCAACTGCTTAATGAAGCATCTTTTTTTTTCTTTTACAAAATCTGTCTTAATCAGTGGGTAAGCAATTAAGTTTATACCCAGAGTGATTAACATATCATAAAATTTCATCTCTTTAATAATTACCAGTGTTTTATTTAATAATTACTCAGCACTTATGAATGTACATCATGTGTCAATTTTTCTAAGTACCTTTAAGAACCAGTCAAATGTAGATTATTTTTCTCACCGAAAGGAGAAAAACACAGTGTTAGCTAAAAGGCTAAAAAAATTTTTTAACATTATGATTAATAATAAGTGAAAATGCTATAAGTCTCCATGGGCAATGGAAATAAAAGGAAAAATAAACAAATGGGACTACATCAAACTAAAAAGTTTTTGTACAACAAAGGAAACCAGCAACAAAATGAAAAAACCTACTGAATGGAAGAAGATGTTCGCCAAGATACATCCAATGAAGGGTTAATGCCTAAAATATACAAGGAACTCATACAACTTCACACCAAAAAAACAGAAAAAAACAAACAAACAAAAAACAGCCTGATTAAGACATGGGCAGAGGATGTAAGTAAACATTTCTCCAAAGAAGGACGTACTGATGGACAATAGACATATGAAAAGATGCTCAACATCACTAATCACCAGAGAAATGCAAATTAAAACCACAATGAGATATCACCTCATACTTGTCAGAATGGCTATCATCAATAAATCAACAAACAAGTGTTGACAAGGATGTGGAGGAAAGAGAACCCAAGTGCACTGTTGGTGCAGCCACTGTGGAAAACAGTATGGAGGTTCTTCAAAAAATTAAAAAAAGGGCCGGCCGAGTGGCACGATGGTTAAGAGCTGGCTTGGGACTCCAGAGGGCCCCGGTTCAGATCCCACATATGAGGGCCAGTGACACTGCCCTCTACAGCTAAGATGCTGAACAACAGTTCAACCTGGA